GTTCATTACAAATACTCCCTTTTCAACTATTGTATTTTTCCGGTCATTTATATGGTGCCTTCCCTTCTCTCGCTTGATCTTTGCCAACCCTATGGCTTTTCAGCTTACCTCTAAGGACTCCAATCCTATCAAACTCTCGTTATTGACTTCCTTGAGTTGATTATAACTTAAATCCAAATGCTGCAGCTCAAAGTTTTTGGAAAATTCCTGGGCGGATAGGTTTTCCAGCGAGTTTCTCGATAGATTAAGGTATACTAAACGCGCCAGGCCACGTTCCTTGAGAAATTGTAAATCCCTTAGATGATTCTGTTCCAGTCGCAGCGTGCGCAAATGTGTGTTGCTCTCGAAGGCTGCAGGCTCCACTTGCCCCAGCAGATTATGTTGCAGGGTTAAGCTGGAGAGACGATGTAGACCATGAAAGTAGCTGGCTGCTATTAGCTGCAGGCGGTTATTATGGAGCATCAAATGTTTCAGATGCGACAGATTATGGAAGCACTCCGGCTCCAGATGCTCGATGAGATTGTGACTCAAGTTCAGCTGCTGCAGCTGTGGATAATGCATCAAGCTTCTGGCGGCCAGTTGAATCAATGTATTAAAACTGATGTCCAGTGAGGTCAAAGCGGATAGCGGCTTCTCCGACCAGGTTTTAATCACGCTAAGATTGTTGTGTGCCAGCGAGAGGCGCTGCAGACGTGACAGACCATGTAGTGCGTAATCCTCCAGAGAATTTAGTTGGCAGTGCTGCAGTTCCAGACTAAGCAGTTGATTGAAGCGTAGGAAAATCGCGTTCTTTAGCTGTTGCTGCAGGCTGCAGTTGCTCAGGCTCAAAGCGCTCAGCGTTGCCACATCGTTCAACTCGCTCAGCTGCGTGGCATTGCAGTTGGTCAGCTGCAAGGACTCCGCATGGCAGGCCAGTAGCAGCGGCAGCAGCAGCAGCGGCACCTTTAACAACATTCCGCGACACATTAGACTGACGCTCCAGACTGAAGTTCTTGACTAAACTGCCATTTGAATGCTGTAACTGCCTCTGGCTGGTTGGCTTATCTCAATGCAGCTGCTCTTGGCGCCTGCCAGCCCGTCAAGATAGTTAATCAGTTAACCGACTTCCCAGGCGTATATATCTCATGGCTTAAATATTTGCACATCATCGTTTCAGTCCACACGACAACAGACGCAACTACTGAATTAAGTCTTCCCTCCGGTCCGGTCCCTCCACGCGCCGTCTAATGCAAAGCGCCCCTTTCACATGTTTGTGTATTAATACCCATTGCAAATTTAATGTAACAGGGTCTTATGAAGAATATTATATATACTCTTCTTGTTAGTTAAGACTTCCAATTTAATGGATTACCGTACGTAGATTAAATTAATGTTTTTTTTCGATTACAGCCGAAATTTCCATTATTTCGATAAATATCGATTTTCTTGGTATTTTAATAGGTGAACATTTCGAACATTTCAGGACAATCCGACAAAATATATAAAAGTTACTTGAGAATGAAGAATGCGAAAAAGACGCAGCTCAAAGTTGCATGTGTTAGCATATGCTTGCAGGGTATCTCGTGGTCGGGCATAATTACTTATGCTGCCATGTCTGTGTTAATTACCTGGCAGAATGTGCAATTGGGATTGCCAGCTGACATTTCTAAAGCGGACCTCAGAGAACATTTAATGGGTTGTTATGTATTCTGTATTCTCATTTAAAATTACGCAACTATTTTGTAGTCATTGATATGGTATTTTTATACGCTTGCAGAGGGTATTATAATTTTGTCGTGAAATGTGTAACGCATAGAAGGAGACATCTCCGACCCCATAAAGTATATATATTCTTGATCAGCATCAACAGCCGAGTCGATAGACCCATGTCCGTCTGTCCGTCTGTCTGTTTCTATGCGAACTAGTCTCTCAGTTTTAAAGTCAGTTTTAAATCTTAATGATATTTTGCAGAAGTCCCTCTTTCTGTTGCACGCAGCACATATGTGAAAACCAGCTGGATCGGACCACTATATCATATAGCTGCCATAGGAACGATCGGTCGAAAATTAAGTTTTTGTATGAAAAAACATTTTGTTTATCAAGATATCTTGCCCAAATTCGGCATTAACTATTTTCCCTGTGCTTCTTAGATACGGGCAAAGCACTATAAGCATTATGAAAAGGTTGGGTCTGCAAGGGTATTAGATCTTCGGCGTGCCGAAGATAGCCTGTCTTTCTCGTTATTTTTATAATACTATTTCAAGCTAAAAATCTACAGAATTTCTCAGCATTTGGTTTTGTAATTTACTTGAGTGGCTACTCTTAGAGGTCACTGTGCGCGCTTATCTACACTTAAAAAAATCGTGGAAGTTTTTAATTAAATTTTTAAAAGTGTTCACACGGCTTTATGTCGTTCGATAGGCTTAAGTTCCTGTATTGGGTATTTTTATGTTTCTACTTATGTGCAATGTATTCAATGAAACATCTCCGATCCATTAAGTACACCTAATCTTGATTAGAACAAAGAGTTTTATATAAATGTCTATTCATACCCATTAAAACTGGGTAAAAGGGGTATAATGGGATAATGGGGTATCGACATCCTGTTTTTTGAGCAAATTGGGAAAATATTAAGAGCTGGAGTCACCAAACTTGATATGTTGATTCTAGAATATTATATATATATCAAGTATCTTTCATTTTATATCTATCACCACCTCCCCGCTACCACCGCAGAGCTATAAATCAAGTTATTAACCCAACTTATATTGCCCACCAATCTAAGCCACAATTTTAATGCAATTGACTTTTTGAGAATATGCAAATATTCTATGGTACAATAAGATATACTGTAGAAAATTTCATTAAGATCGATTAAGAAAAAAACAAAGCTATGTTTTACTGCGCAATTGGATGGGGCAAAAATTCCAACAACGTCTGTATACTTGTAAACACACACATTCATGCGCTTTTGCTTATATTCTATAAACAGCATTGCAATTGCGATTGTTTTCTGTGCTGCTATTTTAATTCGTTTTTTTCTCAATAATACTTAGTTGTTGGTGTGGGTGATGGGTAAAGGCATAGCAAGTAGTGCGATGTGTCGCCAGTTCGAGTCCCATCGAGCGCGTTGCGCCAACTGCAGTTAGTGTTGGAATAAGACGGTTCAGGATATTCCCTAGTCGGGAGCTCCCGTCTAGAACCTCTTACTGGTTTTTAAAGTGGAACTGTTTAAATGAATTTTAGAATATGCCGACAAAATTTTAACTTTCAAAGGAACTAAACTTTGATCTGCTTTTACTTCATATACTATTCCAACACTGAAAATATACTTTCTCATTTGCAGTATAAGTTTTCTTTGGGTGTAAATAACTCAATGAGCTTTGGTGCCTATATTGATTATAAAACCTCTGTTGCTCAGTTATAAAGTGCCCTCCCTATGTGAAGCAACTATAATCTTAAGATGATTAAAGAATGCAAATCGAGGTGTACGCACTTAAGTCTAGTTCTGCTTAGTTCTAGTCTAGTTCTCCAGTTTATACCAGCTGCTAACAGTGAAGGTGTCTGCACCAAATGGCAGTATGGACCACCGGTATATATTTATATATATATATATGTATATATATATATATATTTGTGTATAAAATCGGACTCTTTCAAATACTTTAGGATGACTATCTGCCAGTGTTGATTCGGTTCTGTTGTACAGGCTATGGCGATTCGAATAGTACGCAATGTTTACCCAGATGCGATATGGGTTGTCCGCCGAATAGTCGTTGCGTAGAGCCCAATATTTGCGTCTGCAATGCGGGCTTCGAGACGGATTTAAGCTATTTTTATTATGGCTTCAAAGCAGTCAAAAGCTGTAAACTACAGGAAAATGCCAGCGATCTTACCGGAGCTACAATCATGCATCTTTTTGCTGCATTGGCAATACTCGTCTGTCTTATTTCAGTTGTAATAATATCTATTTTGTATTTCAATAAAGTGTGTACCAATAAAGTAAACTTCAGTAAAGTGTGAATGAACACTTTAAATATGATTTATAAATTTTTTTTTTTATTTTTTTCTCGAACTTAGGCTTTGCAGCAAATGCAATTTATTGCAAATTGTGATAATACGCGAGCGATTAATGTAATTGTTTCTGTTTCAAGAGAAAAAATTTGTAATAAATACGATTACGATTTGAGTCAATTATTTGTCATAAGCTCATATAATTATGATTGGGCTTATGCTGATTCAGGCAAAAGCCAGTCAGCTGGTACTAGTCGAAGTGCCCGACTAGGAGATATCCTGTAACCTGCCTCCATATTATGCACCTACTGACACCTTTCTACACTAATAAAAAAATACATTCTTTAATATCTTTTGTGTTTATAAACGAATTTTAAATGTGTGTATATATATGTATATACTAGCAGGTATATCCCGGCCTTGCCCGTGGCACGTATAAAATAAATGTTCACAAAAAGCTTTGAAAATGCTTTTGAAACTGATCGAAAGGTAAACAAACAACTTTCATACAAACGGTTTCCGCCAATTTACCACTGTTGCGGATGGAATTTGCCAAATCGCTGAAACATGTTCTTATATGAACAAACAGTTTTATATATAGAGATTGCATTTGTTTTTTATAAAATGTCCTTAATTTAATAAAAAGGAACTGTAAAGAATATTCGGTTAAATAAAATTTTAAGTTTCTAGCACTAAAAAGATGAAACCCGATATAAAGAAATTTTGGAAAAATTTAAGGTTTCATTTAATTTTCTGATTTACATTTTCGGAGTTGGCTTTTCGAGTCTCTTAAATCTTTACGGACTGTAATGCATAACTAGCTGCTTCTGATCCAAAGTATATATGTTTTATTATTGCAAATACTTTATTATATATTTTTTTATACACCCACTTGCTCAATTGAGGGGGCATGAGAAGTTATTTACTTTTATAATTTATATTTATCGCTTTTTTAAAAGCTGACAACTTCAGTTGTTTGTTGACTTTTGCGTGTGCAAGTCGCGTAATTTCGGTGTAGTAAAATCTATAACAAAAAATACCAGATTAACTGAGAATGTGGCTTTGTCTGAAAAACGTACTGCTCGCTGTGATTCTATGCACAGCGCTGGGCTTATGTCGGGCAAATGTTTGCATCGAAAGTGCTTATGAGGTGCGATATATATGTGAAAATATATATACAATTTATCGCTTAATATCTGAGTTTTATCCTATCCTTAGAGCGACACCTCCGATCTGGTCTACAAGTGCCGTAAAGGTTGCGTGGGAACTGTGCCCAACTGTCTGCCCGTCTGCGATAATGGTTGTCCAGCGAATAGCAATTGCACTTCACCCAATGTCTGTGAATGCAACACAGGGTATATTATAAACGAATCGAATCCCGATGCTGCGCCCAGCTTAAAGAGTTGTAAATCCGCCTGCGAACCCGATTGTCCTGCGCATAGTCATTGTGCTGGCTATAACAAATGTATATGCAATGAGGGCTATGTTGAAAATGCAACCAATCCGGATGTTGTGCCCAGTTTGCAGAGCTGTAAGCCAACATGCGTAACAGACTGTCCCAGTCACAGTTATTGCGCCTCACCAAATATTTGCCAATGCAATAAGGGATATACGCCGGATAAAATTAATAACAATATTGTGCCCAATCTAAAGAGTTGTAAGGAACAGTCCGAAGAAAATATCACGGTTCTGCAGATTGCCCTATATATTCTTGTGATATGTTTTTTGGTATTCGCCATAATAGTTGTCATTTTAATGCTTGTGATTTGGATAAAAACTAGAGAGGATAAGTGGCGCACTTCATTTACATCGCATTCAGAATTTGAAACTAAGTAAAAGGTTTTTTTTATCAACTTTTAATCAACTGAAATTCTTCTCTTTTGATTCAAATAAATCTATTAAATATGTTAAGTATTATATATCATTTTTGTAATATTTTTTAACCCTGAACCCATTAAAAATGGATTCAAGGGTATATTGTATTTGTGCGAAAGCCAAATGTATGTAACAGGCAGAAGGAAGCATCTCCGACCCCATAAAGTATCTCAGAACCTATAAGAGCTAGAGAAAATTTTAGATGTAGATGCTCCTAGCTCCCGCGCAGATCGAGTTTGTTTCCGATAATCGATAACTTCCTCCGTTTCCAAGCTAACGATAAAAATCTATATCGATATCCTGTTTTTTGGGCAATTTTGGTAAATAATGAGCTAGAGTCACCAAACTTGACATATAGATTCCAAAATAGAATATATATATATATATATATATATATATTTGATGTTGGAAGAACAGAGTTCAGGGTATCGCCTAGTCGGGAGCTTCCGACTAGAACCTCTTCTTTCTTAATTTATTTATCAAGTTATAAACTATTAACATATGTATATTATGTACGAAATATATCAATATATATATATAAATCAATATTCGCAAGAGTTTGGTAATTTTAGTTATAAAACATTTTATTAATTTAGAAATGCATGACTTGTTCTTACTTGTGCTTCCTTTGTTCGATTTGCTGCCTATGCTGGATATAATAATATATACACTAATATAATATAATAAAATAATTTATAATATATAAAATAAATTTGATGTTTATAATTATTTTGGTTTGTGGTATACCACTTGAAAGCTGATTCATGTGCTGGCTTAACTGTATGCACTGTTCATACCCTGATTTATGTACAAGAACTCAAAATCTATAATTTCACTTTTCCTTGTAAGTGTAAAAAAGAAAGAGTTTAGAGAACTTTTTTAAATGAATCATGCGTATAGTTATTGGACACCCATCCATATTCTGCTTTATAATCTCTGCGTTTTTTTTTATACCCTGAACCCATCAAAAATGGGTATAAGGGTATATTGTATTTGTGCAAAATCCAAATATATGTAACAGGCAGATGTAAGCTTCTTCGATCCCATAGAGTATATATATTCTTGATCAGCATCAATAGCCGAGTCGATCTAGCCATGTCCGTCTGTCTGTCCGTCCGTCCGTATGAACGCAAGGATCTCAGAACCTGTACGAGCTAGAGACTTGAAATTTTAGATGTAGGTGTTCCTAGTGCCTGCGCAGATCGAGTTTGTTTCCGATAATCGATAATCCGACAACTTACTCCGTTTTCAAGCAATCGATAAAAACGATATCGATATCCTGTTTTTGGGCAATTTTGGTAAACAATAAGAGCTAGAGACACCAAACTTGACATATAGCTTCTAAAATAGAATATATATATGCATTTGATGTTGGAAGAAGAGGGTTCAGGGTATCCCCTAGTCGGGAGCTCCTGACTAGAACCTCTTACTTGTTTTTTGTTGTCTTTTGTGCTATTTTATTGACAAAAAGAAGCGGAACTTAAAAAAGTACTAGTTAGAAAGGATGGCCAATAATAAGTATATTATAAAATAAGTTTAATGCCATATTTTATTTATATGCCTTTTATTCTCAGAAGAGTTTCTGAGTTTTTGATTTTCTGTACCTTGATAATAAATTATACAGGGTTTTCATACAATATGTTTCTTGTTTTTTGCTTGCAAATTCTCTGAATTGCTAAATATTACGATTTTGTCTTATAATTTTTCTACAAAAAACAATAATGAAATGAAAAAAGAAAAATTGAATAAGCAAACAATTTTTGCATCCATACATACCTATTTATTTATGTATTCTTTTTCTTTATACTCGATTTAAATATTTCTAAGAAATCAAAGATTTTCCATTTTTTTTTGTAGAGAATAAATATTTGCAGAAAAAGTAAAATGTTCATTATTAAAATGCACTCAGATCAATTTTAAAAATCAAGCCTAAGCACATGTTAAAAGTAAATCCCCAAAAATTATGAATAGCTGCGTTGAAAATATTTTAATTAAAATATGCAATTTGCTCCAACAAAAATCCTATCCCTCTCTCTCTCTCTTTCAGTCTCTCTTTATCCCCCACATCCTCTGCCTTTCTCCGTGCGACTTATTTGTATCTGTTGTATGTATTTTGGGCTTTACCTGCATTTCAGACTTCAGTTGAACGTATTTGCGGCTTCAGTTTGAAAGCCGCAGGTGGAAATGCACTTAGCCAGCACTGGCAGGCAACGTGCCACAGGCAAACAGCAGGGCAGCAGGACAATCAACAGGGGTCGGCCGTCTGTCTGTCTGACAGACAGACATAAGCGATTATGACTATACAAATTTGCTTGTTGCCGCAATTGTAATGTTTATTAATTTGGATTTTGAGCCAGTGCCAAGTTTTGCCAGTCGCAGGACATGGACCGGCAGAGCAGTGGCAAAAACTACGCCATATACTAATTGAAATTGATATAAATGGGCCAGGCAAAAACAAGAGCTTTACTAAAGTACGGATATGCTGCATGAAGTGTGCCTTGCGGCTGCGGACCATAAGCCGGCAAATACATATGGATGGCAAAACATGAATGGCATATAAACATGTAAATGTATGTGGTTTTTACAGGACGTATAGGAAATTGAATAATAATAATAGCTTATCGATATTTCTTTGAGAATTAAGCTTTACTAAAGCACTACCCCATATAGAATTGGCATCAGGTGATTTAAGTAATTGCATTTGTGGACTTTATTGCACTTAAATCTGGTTTATTACCGCTCAAAATAATTGTTAATTTCGTTGTCATATCGTAGCATATCGATAGTTTTTATCAAATTTATTTCAGAAAGTTCTGTTCAATGAAAGAGACTTATTCTCATATCTTGATTGGTGTATGCCTTAAACCACTAACCAAACAACATATAGACTGGACATGGTGAACGGTTTTTGGGGACAACAGAAATTCGAAGACATCGGGTCCAAAATCGCGAGCAAGAGAATAAGATATACATGTGATATCTTTTTATTCGCGTACACTACAGGCTTTAGCTTAGTCTCTTCCATATGATTTATGCGATAGAATGGCAGCGCTGGTTTTTTATCTCGCTCCCACTTTTTTATTTATTTATTTATTTATTAATGGTCGACAAAACGAGTGTCTTCCTCATTATTCAATAGATTATACAATAGAATTTTATGCTAAAAGCCTAGTTAAAGGATACAATTTTCTAAATAGCATCACCGACCGATGGAGGTGTTTTTTTTTGCCAGTCCGGCCACCTGTGCCCCTTTTCACAGCTAATTTTGTCAGTGACGCTATTAGAGCCTACATCTAAGCAGAAGGTTGTAAGTAGGAAAAAAGTGTTCTCAAGTAACATTAAAATAATCTTAATTTGCTATAATTATAATGAAAATACAATAAATAGGAAAAATGAAAGTAAGAAGATTGTTAATAAAGTAAAGCAATGTAAGTTAGATAAAGAGTGTTAAGTAGATAGGACAAACAGAAAAGTAATGGGAAATCACCGATCCGGTGGGGGAAAATTTTTCAGCCTGTCCGGCAAGCTATGCCCCTGCTCATAGCTGGGAATGGTCAGCGACTTCCCGAAGGTATCCTGAAAGCAATGATTTTATTAGGGGTAGAGACAGTTCGGTAGAGAAAACGTGATGCAAACTATTATAATTTTTACATAGCACGCGAAAAGGATTGTGCATAGCGTAGTCTGTTGTGCACGTAGATAGTAAAAAGGGGCGATAATTTCTGGTTGGTCTAGCCGGAACAGAGAATTGAAGACGCCCTAACAGGAAAGGAGAATTTATGTCGCCAATAATCAACTTATGTAGAAGGACAACACCGAGAATTGTCCTACGGTTGGTTAACGACGGAAGGTTGAGAAGAAGCAGTCTGCTGGAGTAGGACGGCAACCGAAGATTAGGGTCCCAATTTAAACCTCGTAAGGCAAAAAGCAGAAATTGCTTCTGAACAGATTCAATACGATCCTGGCTGTTGTTATACTGTGGAGACCAGATGCAAGAGCAGTATTCAAGGATAGGGCGAACAAGAGAGATGTACAGAAGTTTTGTTATAAAAGGATCGTTAAACTCTTTAGACCATCGTTTAATGAATCCAAGTACACCTTTTGCCTCATTAACGATGGTATCTATGTGAAGATTGAAACAGAGTTTAGAATCAAAAATTACGCCTAGATCCTTAACTGTTAGTATACGTTGCAAAGGGATATTGTCGATTGTATAACTGACAAGATAAGGTGTAGTACGATTAAAAGTTATAAGCATACACTTTGAACAATTTAGATGCAATTGATTGGCCGAACACCATAGCATGGCATAGCGTTCAAATCGTCTTGTAGACGAGAATGATGTAGGGGATTAGTGTATGATAGAAAAAGTTTGACATCGTCCGCATACATGAGTACACGGGCATGTGATATAACAGAGGGGAGATCATTTATAAAAAGAGTAAAGAGTAAAGGTCCAAGATGACTACCTTGAGGAACACCAGAAGTAACGTGAACCCGTTTAGAGGTAGTCAGCCTCAGCATTACTCTTTGGGTCCTACCTTTTAAATAAGAATTAATCCAAAGCAGAAGAGACAGGGGGAAACCTATTCGGTCAAGTTTAAAAAGTAAAATGTCATGGTGCACAGAGTCAAACGCCTTACTGAAGTCAGTGTAAATGACATCAGTTTGCATTTTCGAAAGGAAAGCATAGTTTACCAAGGAAGTAAACTCAAGCAGATTGGTCGTAGTTGACCGATTCTTTACGAATCAATGTTGAACAGGGGAAGCAACTGATTTGCAGAAATGCTGCAAATTACTCTCAGTGCTCTCAATGCTCTCTCTTTATGTTTGGGGATCGTTTAAATGTGTGTGTGTATGTGACCGCACAAGCAAAAATGCGCAAAAATTCAATTTTTCAAATGTCTGTGGCATTTGCACCTTTTTGTAGGCATGAGTAATATGAAATAAAGTAATGGTTTGCCACGTAGATGCGAAATTCTTGCATTTT